GGGTGCTATTCATCATAGTTCTTCATCGTGTTCATGCGTGATGAATTTCATGATACCGCGTGAGAAATGGTCACATCTGTGCCATGCTTAAAGGGCATTTTCAGACCTGTAGATCATTTGCTTTGTTCCGAAACAGGGACTTCATTTGTTACAATGTTGCATTTTCCTTCTTTCGCTTTGGTTCACTTTCACAAGGCAACATTGCAAAGCGTACCAAGCTGTGTTTATGCAAGTGACATGTGAGTAAAACTGTCCTCTTATTGGTCAGAGTTCACCTGTTTACGTTCATTCTTGTAATGCGCTAATGTGCTCGCTCACAGAATCAGACACTGCTGCTTATAATATAACATATTTCCCGTTATGAATTACGAGACCGCTTGGTTCGTTGGTCGGTTGGGTCAGATTGCTTTCTCACCACAAGCGAGCCGCTCCAGAGACCACCTCGTTCAGGTGATCTCGGACTGATTATTTTGATGCCTAAACGAACCGAACTAAGGGAGAAAACGGGACGGGTTCTGAAACATTAGCTCCAAACGAGCCAAAGAAAGAATTCGGTCAAATCGCCAGTTGCACTGCATAAGCAGAATGTTTGCATTCGATGCATCTGAAGTTTTGTGTCCTGTTGTGTTTTTGCTGCCCACAGGAAAACCAGACATGTCAACATCCTGTTGTTCATGGGCTACATGACAAAAGACAATCTTGCGATTGTGACGCAGTGGTGTGAAGGCAGCAGTCTCTACAAACACCTCCATGTGCAAGAGACCAACTTCCAGATGTTTCAGCTGATAGATATCGCCAGACAGACCGCTCAGGGCATGGAGTGAGTTTCAATCCTGTGACTGATGGATGTGTCTTCATTCAGTGTCTATAATTTCACTGTGTGTCTCAACAATCATTTATCATGTTTTTTTTCCCCTCACAGCTATCTACATGCAAAAAACATCATCCACCGTGACATGAAATCAAACAGTATCTTTTTATGATGCATGTAGATTCAATCTGTTCTTTTGCGGTTTAAAGGCAGATGGGATAGGTTTCGCTGTTTAGCTACAGTTAGCATTTAGTTCACCTCACCAGCCACTCATGGAGCATCTGATGCATATTGCACACAATCATGGTAAAAGCTTCCCAAAATCACAATCTCTCTGGTTGGCAGGTTATACACAATTTATGGCTTGCTACAGCCAGTGCCTATAAAGTAAGCCCTGGTTTTTGCCAATGTCTCCAATGTTCATGTGCCAATAATTATTAAAAAGAGTCACTTGCGGATGAAACAAAGCCCTTTCTTCAGCTTTATACAGCTCAAATTATTCTTATAGTGTATAGGGAGAAAATATCAGCTTAGTACAAAGTAAATCTAACAGCCATTTATTAATAGGGTAAAACCAATGTAATAACCATATATTTAATTTAGGAAATAACATCCTGTTTTTTTATATCATGCTTAATATTTCTTTCACCCAGTATAAATGAGTCTTAAACGAGCTGTTTTTGGCTAGAAGGAGCAGCCTTAATGCAGACTGCCAAAAGCTGCTGGACTTTGACTTTAACTCGAGCACAGACATCTTCTTACATGAAGGCCTGACAGTGAAGATCGGCGATTTTGGGCTGGCCACAGTGAAGGCCAGGTGGAGCGGTTCTCAGCAGGTGGAACAAACATCGGGATCTATTTTATGGATGGTCAGTGCATTGCTCAGCATCTCAGATTCTGCCTGCTTCATTCCGCTCTGAACATGCATCTGTCATTGAGCTTTACCCACATTTATGCTCTTCGCCCCTCAGGCACCTGAGGTGATCCGAATGCAGGACTGCAACCCGTACAGCTTCCAATCTGACGTGTATTCTTTTGGCATTGTGCTGTTTGAATTAATGACTGGGGAGCTGCCCTACTCACAGATAGCTAACCGAGATCAGGTAACACACACGAAGCCTGAAGGGCTGCAAAACAGGCACACGGTTTACCCAAGCTATTAATGTTATGTTAGGTTTTTAATAGTTAACTTCATATATATTACATTTATCTGCAATTGTAGAAGGCAGCACTAAGCAAATTCTTCACATGCCTTTCAGTAAGCAAGAGGCTAATATGAGACTAATGGTTTATCCAACTTGACTCTGCATACATTTGTGGACATGCATGCAGTATCTCTCCTAGTCTGACCCTGAGTGAGTGAGTGTGTGTGTGTGTGTGTGTTTGAGTGTGTGTGTGTTTGAGTGTGTGAGTGTGTGAGAGTGAGTGCGAGTGTGTGAGTGTGAGTGTGTGTGTGAGTGTGTGCGAGTGAGCGAGTGAGTGTGAGCGAGTGAGTGTGTGCGAGTGTCAGTGTGTGTGAGTGTGAGTGTGAGTGTGGCGCGTGTGTGCGCGTGTGAGTGTGTGTGTGTGTGTGTGAGTGTAAGTTTACGCATGTGTGTGTATGTGTGTGAGTGAGTGTGAGTGTGTGTGTGTGCGTGTGTGTGTGTGTGTGTGTGTGTGAGTGTGTGTGAGTGAGTGTGAGTGTGTGTGTGTGTGTGTGTGTGTGTGTGTGTGAGTTTCAGCTTCTGGAAGCTTTTTTCAGCTTCTGGAAAAATAATCCTAATGGTTCTGAAAATAGAATTGACATTATGCAAAATCTAATCTTCTTTTTCTTCTTATTTTGTTTGATTTTTAATCAAAATGTTTCCTGGATGTGTTTTTGATTTTTTTTTGTGAGATTCATCAATTTTATGTTAGGATTATGAGAAAGTTTAGTCTATTGAAGACAGTTAGCTATTATTTAAATACGTCCCACAATAAAAGACTGTGCTGCTGTGTTTTTAGTACTAAATATTTGAATGCATATATATTTACTGTGGTTCCCTGTGCTTTCTTAAAGCTTTGTATTTACTGTTTTCTTCAGATCATCTACATGGTTGGTCGAGGATATCTGTCTCCAGACCTCAGTAAGCTCTATAAGAGTTGTCCTAAAGCCATGAAGAGACTGGTGGCTGACTGTATCAAGAAGTCCAAGGATGAGAGGCCTCTTTTCCCCCAGGTGTGTTTGCTTTCCTTTAACAGATTATCTAACTGAACATACAGTGGGTACAGAAAGTATTCAGACCCCCTTAAATTTTTCACTCTTTGTTATATTGCAGCCATTTGCTAAAATCATTTAAGTTAATTTTTTTTCCTCATTAATGTACACACAGCACCCCACATTGACAGAAAAACACAGAATCGTTGACATTTTTGCAGATTTATTAAAAAAGAAAAACTGAAATATCACATGGTCCTA